AGAGAGAGAGAGAGAGAGAGAGAGAGAGAGAGAGACAATCACATCAGTAACACAACCTCCCCCCTCCCCCTCTCAACCTCTCATCTGTCGCTTGTCCCCGCAGGTGACCGAGGCTCCGATCTCTGACCTCTTCACTGACCTTCAGGATGGACAGAAGTTGCTGGTTCTACTGGAGATGCTGTGTGGGGAGAAAGTCGTAAGTGTTCGTCGTTCAGTTTCATCGCCGTCGCACATAATCACACATCATTACATAGCTATATATATCAGGAGTAGATAATAGGGAATTATCTACTATTATCCCTATTATCTACTCCTGATATATATCGAGAGTCCAAAATAGAAAATTTTTGTCATATTCAAAGAACTTTTGTGAAGAACGCATACGATTTTCAGTTAAACTGCTGCTATCATATGACTAAGGCAGAATCTAAGATATTTGTTGAATGAGTTATTAAAGTTAAATCCTTCCCGCGCCTTCATACGTATAGCGTATAGCTACATGGTGCATAGGGCGGTGCCTATCTCCGTTTCAGTAACCCTGAGGCCCCGCAGCTGTTTTCACAGTAAATGCTACCATAGGGGGTTAGTCCACTGTAGCACTGCGAGTTAACTTGCCACACTCTATCTCTATTTGCTGAATGCTAAGCAGAGAGGCCGTGTGTACCATTTTTCAAGTCTTCGGTATGACCAGTTGAACCCCCGACCTTCCACATACGAGGCGAGCACTCAACCATTGAGCCATCGCAGTGGGTTGAATGAGTTATATATTCTTATATAATATAAGAGTATAAGTTGAAAACTGCCCAAGCACGCTGTAAAACAGTGTCATACTTTTTTCCTATTATGGACCGTTGATATATTTACATCAAGAGTACATAATAGAGATCTCTATTATGTAATCTTGATACACACATATAATAACCTCTTTGATACCACCGAGCATTCCTGTCTCATTTAGAATTTATTAATTACTAATTGAACGAATCGTTACTAATTGATGCGCGATTAGCTCCGCGCTTTGTACGCGCCGCGGCCGCGGCGGTCGAAGCCCGCAGGCAGGCTTCCGAGTTAATTGAGAATTTCGTTGCCGCGGTTACGTTAATCGTCCGGACGGATTTGTCGGCGCGGCGATCGCGGCGTTCAATGAAGCGAACATCGCGAATGAACAACGTCACGAACAAATCTTGTTACCGAGTCCGCGTCAAACTGCAGTGCTGTTCTCTTGTTTTGCAGAAGCCGGAGCGCGGCAAGATGCGCGTTCACTACCTGAACAACGTGAACAAGGCGCTGCAGATCCTGGAGAAGAACAACGTGAGTTCGTGGCATTCCCAGGGAACGTTGCCTCGTCTTCCCTTCTTCATTTTCGTCTTCCCGAACTAGGAATAATCCTGTAAACTCGTCTCTCTTCCCCTTCTCATTCTCTCTCTCTCTCTCTCTCTCTCTACTCTTCCTCTCTCTCTCTCTCGTCATTCTCTCCCTTTCTTTCCTCTCTCTCTCTTCTCTTCTTCTCTCTCTCCTTTCCCTCCCTCGTCATCTGCTCTCTCTCTCTCTCTCTCTTCTCTTTCTTCTCTCTCTCTCTCTCTACTCTCTCTCTCTCTCTCTCTCTCTCCTTCCTCTCTTTCCTCTCTCTCGCTCTCTCTCTCATCTCCTCTTCTCTCTCTCTTGCTCTCTCTGTCTCTCTTCTCCTCTCTTCCTCTGTCTCTCGTCTACTCATTTCTCTCTCCTTCTCTCTCTTCTTTCCTCTCTTCTCGTCTCTCTCCTTTCTCTCTTTCTTTCCTCTCCGCTACTCTCTCTCTCTCTCCTCCTCTGTTATATTATTATATACTATATATAAATAATATATATGATTGAAACTCTAGGAAATGAAACGCTTAGAACTGTAATCTTTCAAAATGAACGGAATCAAATGGAGATAAATGTAACGGAACGGCGACAGAATGTAGAAAATTCCAATATAATAAACGCTCTGGCTACGCGTCCGGTCATCCATTATAAAGCTCAGCACAGATTCCCAAACCCACGTCACGATTAGGCCACGCCCCCTTTCAAATCGTTGATTTTACTGGATTTACTACTGCTTCAATAGTTACAAAAACACATTTTTTTGATCAAATACTTAAAGGTAAGTAATATTATGGTAATAACTTATTGTTTATTGTTTGTTACTGAAAAAATATAGTTGGGTTCACATAAGAATTATATATGACCGGACGCGTAGCCTGGGAGCCACGGCCCAAAATTTTTCGTAAAATATCTGCCCATGCGGTAAAACCCACCACCCCCTCTCGACGATCGAACGTTCGCGCGTCCCCGCGGCGACGCGCGCGTAACTAACGACTCGTCTCCACGGCAACGCCGCAGGTGAAGCTGGTGAACATCAGCAACAATGACATCGTCGACGGCAGCCCCAAGCTCACCCTCGGCCTCGTCTGGAGCATCATCCTACACTGGCAGGCGAGTTACCGTGGCAACGGCCCTCTGGTGGCAGCGCGTGCTCGATCGTTGCCATCCGCGCATTTATCGATTACGGTCTTCGTTTTGTGTTATATTATATTATATTACGTGTTATATAATTTATGATATCTGTGTTGCCATTATTATTATTTCATTGTATAATATATATTATA